TGAATTTTTTATTTTCACAATAATAAAACTTTAGTCTTTAGGGTGCAGTCCCATGTGGGTAGAATAGTGGAATAGTAGAATAGTGGAATAAATGTCGACCAATGAGATGAGTCTAGGGGAATTGGACTTATGGTGTTAAAATGTGAATATCGTTTTGAAATCTATGTGTTTGATGGTTCGTGATAGTGAAATCATTTATTAAGAAAAATGAACAAACAATTCAATGACAATTAATAAAATGTATTTTTAACTATGTGCGAGTGACGCACATAATTTTTAGAGGTAAAGAATTTTGCGGAATTGAAATATAAGTAAATAACATATTTAAATATACAACTTTAATATCCCTACTACCAACTAAAAGTTTTAAATAAAAAATTTTGGTGTTAATTTTATTTACTCAAAAATTAAATTTGGACAATACTGATGTTAAATTTATTTTTCAAAATTAAAAAATTAACATATTCTATACAAATTAAATTCTTAATAAATATATATATATATATATATATATATAACTTGGACTCAATCAATTGAAGAATAATCAATAATTAAAACAATAATTAAATAAATACATAATAAGTACAACACAAAACAATAAATATAAAATTAAAATATTCATAAAATCGGTTGAGTGATTTGTAAACTTAATAATTTTTTTAAAAAATGTCCAATTACCTATTCTACCAAATTTAGGGTACCTATGTTCCAGCTGGTAGAATAGTGGAATAGAGGAACAGAAAAAGCGAATCGTGGTAATTGTAAGATTGGGATCTAGTGGAAATGCAGCTTATTATTGGCTGCATAACAGCAATTCAACTATTCCACTATTTCTATTCTACCACATGGGACACGCGCTTTTTGATTTTGGTAGAATAGTGGAATAGACAAAATAATAACAAAGTACAATACATTCAACGTATATTTATAATAATAATAATATTTAAACTATATGACATAATAGGTATGAAACTAAGTCATTAATAATTCTTTTATAATAAAAAATCACTTTATATAATAAATAAATGTATAATAATTTATATAAATTATTATATAAATTTATTTAATTTATATAATAAATAAATATAAAATTTGAGGTTATTTTCAACACTATGTATAAAATCTTTGAATTTTCATTAAATATTTTTGTAGGTATATGATGTGTTCCACGCCAAAGTGACGTTCTATCTACAATTCCATCTCCGTTTTTTTTATTTTATTACTAATTGAGACTAGCTTTCATGAATTTTTTCAAATTTTTTTAACAAGCCGTTTTCGAGTTATGCAATTTTGAAAATTGGAGAATTTTCATGGCTTTTAATATTTGAATGCTCATAACTTCCTAAAAGATGCATCAATTTTTAAATTTTCTTTTTTTTTTAATGTTATTTTAAACGTACATTAAAAAAATAGAACATTTTTTTCAAATTATATTACTATTAAATTTTTAAGTTTTAATGATAAAAAGTCATTTTTCTTAATAAATGATTTCACTATCACGAACCATCAAACACATAGATTTCAAAACGATATTCACATTTTAACACCTTAAGTCCAATTCCCCTAGACTCATCTCATTGGTCGACATTTATTCCACTATTCTACCCACATGGGACTGCACCCTTAGTTTCTGTTAATTGGCATGTACAGGGGAGTGTAGTTAGGGTTGGACATAGTTTTGACTTTTCTCTATAACTTCCCCTGTAAGTCGAATTTTAAGATTTCTTGCATATGGTTCGAAAGATCTACTAAAATGTAATGTTTTTGCTGTACATTGTAAAAATATTTGATCAAAAGTTTCCGAGTTATAGTCAGTTAAAAAAAAGTAGTTAGTGTTGAACCAGGTAGTCAGGGTTGAGGTAGAAAATCAATAAAATATGCAGATAAATGATTAATAATGACCTTCAAATGATAGAATATCATTCAAATACACTTGGAAATGTGTAAAGGAACCACGAAATTGAAATAAAAAGCCCTTATTATGTAATTTTCAGATTTTCGCTTGTATCGCGAAGTTGGTCTGAAAAGTGAAAACAAATTATTAAAAATTTGTATTTCCTTTCTTTCCAATGGAAATTAAGTTTTTGACAACTCTTTAAGTCGACAAATGAATTTCCATTGCAAGAACCCTTCATAATTGCAAAATTTATTGGTGGTTCAACCCTGACTCACGCGTCGTTTAGCGTCACATCACACACAAAAATAAACGCGTGATCCTAACACCATATTACGTTCCACATTTTCATGTAGCATCTTATTGAACAATTTTAGTCAAGTTACTTTGTCTTTGACATATTTTTCTGCACTTAATTGTCTTCTTTTGAAACAAGTAAGATTCCTCAGTCCAATATTTTGGTCATATACTTCATATGTTAAAACACATAATTTCATAGGGATTACGAATCTGATTCTGAAAATTAGAGGATTTTATTAAACAAAAACAACCAATGTTTTGAGTTCACAAATGTAGATATTTTTGTTAGGAACAACTTTTGTCTTAAACATTTTTCTATAAAAAATCGTACTTTTCGAGATATTTGCAAGTTTCCATACTTTTTGAGCAAAATACATTCTGCGTGCTGGCGCTACACGGAAAGAAATAGTTCAGGAAAAAGTCCTGAAATAGTTTAATAACTCTGGATAAGGCGGTCGTTTTAAGAGATTTTCATGAATATTCAATAGAAAGTCCTAAAAAGTTAAGGAAAATCTCAAAATAATTCAGTACTTTTTTTTCAGTACTTTCTCAAAATAAATTAAATAGTTTCTTCTCAAAAGTTCGCAAGATCTTATAAAATTACATTCCTAAATTTCCATTTTGCTCGCCATGAAAAAGTCAGGGATTGATCCTGAGAAATTACTAAACTCGTTCTTGACTTTGATGCGCAGTTGACCATTGCGCATCGCGCGACTGTTTATTAATATATATATATATATATCATTATCGGATTATATCAAGTATAAAATGATAAAAAATTAATTTTAATAGCGTTAGCAATTCTAAGAATTTTACAAATTTTAATTTCAATAATTATAATTAATTATAGTTTTTTAAAAATATTTTTTCAATTTACAAATAATAATGAAATAAATTAGCAACTGGTAAAAAATATTAGTAGAAATAAATTAATTAATTGTTAATTATTTTAGAATCACATTGAAAAATTATTAATATGCTGTATAATATATAGATTTTAATTAAATATAAATAATTAATTATTAATTTTTTTATTTTTATTTTGAACGAATATTATTTTCGTTTACTAAAAAACTGTTTATTGAAAAAAATGATCCAGGTATAATAATAACAAAATGAATTAAATATAAACGAAACTATATTTTTGAAAATTTTAGTTTTAATTTTTTTGCAATGTAGTAAAATCCGTCAGTAAGTTTGTTTCTACATGTTACAACAACGTTGGATTCTATTTCTTTTAAATCTAATACGCAATATGAATAATTATCATCATCGAAAATTTTGTAAGCTTGTAAATGTTGAACATAAAAACAATCGTGAAGAAGTCGCGTTACAATTTGAAAATCACCACCGTTAATTAGAATATATTGAACTAAATGAAATTGTGGTCCGCTTTCTGAAAAAGTCATAATAAAACTTTTACACTTGATTTTATTCCCCAAACATACCAACCACTTCGCTACTGTAACAGTATTTTCTTCGCTTACTTTTATCAAATGAAGAAAATGATCAGTATCTTTCAGATCTTCGATTTTCTTAATTTTTTCAGAACCTGAAGTGAACAGAGGGTATGTGCCTCGCTTTGTTAAAAACCGGTAATTCAAAACTAATTGATTTTCGATGGCTATTGTTCGACATATATTTTTTCGACACGCTGAAACTTTTGAAACTACTTTTCCATCTCGATGCTTACTTTCTGATTTAAAACAACTTATATTACCCATAGGGCCGACTTCTTCCATATAGTAGGGGAGCCCATGATGCTAAATGGGGATTTACTCGAGCGTCGTGGGGACGAAGATATTTTGTAGTTTAGATAATAAGGAAAATAAAAGGTTCTATAAAGTTTTCCTTTTTAGTGGTGGGGGAAGCGTCTATAAATTTTTAAAAATGTAAAAAAAACAATTACATGGAAATACTCGAGCGTGTCAGATATTAGTAGTTTAGATACTCCAACGTGACTCTGATACCAAAGGTATGTTCATCTGACGGTTTGCGCGGTGGTGTTGGCTCTCCGGATGGATACAAAGTAAAAAAAAAATTTTTCTTCGAGCACGTCAGATATTTACGGAAGATGTTAAATGAACCTTAAAAATGCTCCCATTCAAAAAACTGACGTTTCGGAAGTGACGCAAGCTCGTAGCGAATTGTTGAAAATGCAAAAAAAAATCGCCATCTTGAAATACTCGAGCGTGTCAGATTTTTATACTGATGGTGCAGCTTGATGCTGCAGTCATGATAGCCGAAAATCTGACGATTATTTTGAGGAATATTGTTAATCTGACAGCTGTTTTGTGATCAGCTGTAAAAGTGTCTTGGCGACGGAGAGCAGTGTCAGAAATCGAGATGGTACGAGAGAGTCAGAAATAGGAAAAAAATGAAACGGAAGATGAGGCACGGAGTGGGGAATGCGTGTTGTACTCGAGATGCGCGCTTTAATCTCCATAGACGATTTTCATTACTTCGGCTTCTGGAAATCGTCAGATTATATTTTATTCGTGATTCTTATGTTATTTCCTTCAAATTAAAAAAAAATTTAACCGCGCTCGAGAATGTCAAGTCAACGTTTTTTTTCAAATTTATAACCCTCCCACTCCCTTACGTTACGCTCAAATCGTCAGATTTTTTAAATGTACATTTTTTAGCTAGTAATTAACCCACCTTCCCTTAATCTGACGCGCTTCAATATTTCCGACGATCGATTTTTTTTACTAATCTGATGAGCTCTCCTAGTCGCACGTCTTGATAAAAAGAGTTAATACTTGGAAGAGGTACTTAACAATATGCAAGGTATCTCCCCCTGTGTTCATCTGCCGCGCTCGAGTAAATCCCAAAAAACACATTGGGCTCCCCTACTAATACCACTGGGATAGTGCAATGAAATATGATGCTTAGGTCTCATCAAATTAGGAAACTTCTTCGAAAGGAGTTTTAGATATTCCGTAATTTCTGTGCTTAATAATTTATGCGTTTCAACATGAATGACTTTACTGAATATAATTTCGACAATTGATTTGACTCTGATAAGTAAGCCCCAAACTTCATCGGTTTCAGATACTTTTGGCCCTACAAGAAGAAAAATTGCTCTCACGAAATTAAGCGTGGAGGTTTATTTATGTTGTCATTTGATCCGTATTGAAAACCTTTTAGCATTAAATTAAGGTACTCAAAAGTAAAAAATCCCTGTTCGATAAAATATTCTAAAAAAGCAGCGAGGTCGTAACGCAGCTCACCATCTAAAAAGTCATGTTTAGGATCGAGATACATATTTTTCGTTGCGTCGAAACTATCAATGTCATTGAACACACACTGTTCTTTAATTCCTGACAATGATACATTATCTTCAGCTAAAAGAGCTGCATAATTTTCTTTATTACGAAGAATTAAATCGCGTTCGTGAAATACCGATTTTAGATCTTTATATTGCGTGAGACAAAATCGACAGAAAAAATTAGCATCGAAGCACTCAACGAAACCGAAAATACCGTTTACCCCCAAATTATCACCGCCTGTTAAAACTAAAACAAAATAAATCTGTATCGTTTCTATTCCAATTTTTATAGTTATACCTTCGCGTTCTAAAAGCTTGAGTTCATCAAGCAGTTTTTGAAAAACGATTCGATTCGAAAATAGTTTTCGATGGTCAGTATTAAATAGTATGAATAGAAAGAGATTTTCTAGTTTCGACTGATATTCGGGGGGCAAAATCGGAAGATCCAAATAAACCGCTCCGCACTTGGCCACACCTTTATGGCTGCCAAGAGGGTTATTCGTTTCGTAGTCATCGAAGTACAATATTATCGGGAATACAGTTTTATTGGGATAGTTTTTAATTTTTTCTTTCCAAAGTGAACCCTTAACAATGTTAGTAACTAACGTTGAATGTTTTTGAAGATCATTCAGATATTGTAAAGTATTGTTAAACAAGTCTGGTAATTCAAAAAATTGTTTAAAAACATGTCTCATCGGAATAAATTGTTCAACAATATCTTTCATAACAATCTCTTTCTCGCCTTCTCTTTCAACAATAACTTGCATCTCCCCCAGCTTATGAGATTCTGGTAGTATCAACGTTTCGTGTTTTTTAAAATGACTAAACCGTTTTGCTTCTGTGTTAAAATCTGTAAATGATGCTAAAAACTTGTTTAATATCTGATTGATTTCAAAAGAGTCCAGCGAATTTTTCTTTAATTGTTCAAATTTGCTCTGTATTTCATCTCGAATGTCTTGAATCGCACTATCTAATAAGGTTGAAACTTCTGTTATTATTTCACCGGCTCTTTTCCTAGACAAATCTCTGTGACTATGTAATTTTGCTAAGAATAAACATACTTTTTCACTAAAAGAATGTGATGTACTTGAATTCGATAAATTTAATGGGATATGATCAGATTCGTCAGATGAACTTTCAGAATCATCGTAGAATGGAATATCCGGATTATGAAAATTAAAATCGTTCGAATATCCGTAAGCCAGATCATTTTCTTCGAGAAAATCGGTATCACTTTCATTCGGTGTAGAAAAATGAGTTTCGTGTTTTATTAAACGATGTTTTCTATACGAATGAAATAAATTATACGTTTTATCGCAGTCTACTTCCATGCATTTAAAATTTGTTAAATATATATGCGATAATCGTACATGGACAACGAGATCTTTATTGTCTTCAAAAGACAAACTACACGCGAAATATTCAAATAACATTGTGCTAAAAGTTTATAAATTCGAGGCTTTTATCATAGAAAATTACATCTATTTCTTTGGCACGCGCTTGAAACTGAAAAACTTACACTTTTAATATCCTTAAAAGATAATTAAAATATCCATTGAACATAAGTAACAATTTATGTTAAAACTTTTTAACCCTCGGAGCACACACCTCTTTTTTCGAACAAGTAGCACAGTCTGGGTCGCTGTGACCCTGTTTACTTTACAAAACTCCCCTATTTTTGAACTATTGGACTGATCAACACAAAAAAAATATTTTTTTATTCATTGAACCTTGTAAAATAAGAATATGCAGTTTAGAAATATTATTAAATTATTTGCATATTGAAAAAAATTCGTGAAGTTAACTAATTAAAAAGAAAAAATTGAATTTAAAAAAAATGTAACTTTTGTAATTTTTAATATTTTAAGCTAAAAATTGGGATTTATATTCTCGAAGTGTGTTAGAATAAGGGAAAAAATACCACCTTATTTTATTTTTTAAAAAAGGTATTTATTTTGTAGTTTAACGAAGGTAACTTTTAAGACGATAAAAATGTGATTTTCGACACAACTTTTTAAAACTATACTTTTTTAATAACATATTTACTAGTATTTTATTATTTTCTTTGGATTATCATGTTACTTATTATTCCTTATTAGTTAGTTACCACTATATGGCCTTAGGTTCGTGTTGTATTGCCGACTTTTCAAATTACACTTCATTGAAATTAATGACAGGGTCTGTGTGACCCAGTATGTGCTCCGAGGGTTAAAATCATCGGTTAAAACTTTACCGAGTTTTTTGGCACGTGAATTAATACTGAAATTGATACAAATCTAAGAACACATTATTATCTTTGAGAGATGATTCTCACGCGAAAAACCAATGTAACGTTAATTTGTACACCTTTTTCAAGCTGTATTTTGTTCTCTATTTTTCAGAATCTTATCTACTTCCTTTACAAGCGCAATAACTTTAAGGGCAAATCTTTGATTAGACGGCCTAATATCGAAACCTGAAATTTGTATAAATTCCCAAAGATGCTTGGCTTTCGCAGGATATTCACAATCTAAAGCATAAAATGATTCCAACGTTAAAAGAATAGCCTCAAAGATAGAATTCGTTTTATACCAAATGTCGTTCACGACAACGAATAAACTCTTGATGCTGACAACGGAACCGATCAACAGAATAAGCGGTTGTAATGTTAGCTTCTCGGTATACAAAAGTCCCTTTAAATCTTCAATGGTTGGATTCGCTTCGTTAGCAACCTAAAAAAACCCTCAATCAATAATTATAAAAAAATAAAAACTCATTTTCATTCCCTAAAATTACCGGTACGCAGATCATGTACGGATATCGTTTCGAAGTATCGGAGGTATTTTGTAATAATTTACTTAAATCTTCACTCAGAGAATTTGGAGTTTCCGGGAAATCATTCTCGAATTCGTTTTCGAGAGACTCTGATTTGCGTTTACGTTTTCTCGCTGGGTTGGTGCTCGGTACCAACGTTATTAATAAATAGAAAGCCACAGCATCTTGAGAATCTGAATAATTAAAAAATATATTAATTTAAAAATTTAACAAGCAAAAGGAATATGATAAAATTTAGAAATGAAATAATAATACCTGAAGATAATGTTAGAAACAACTGCAAGTATGATTTATCAGTGTACGATAGGTTTGAACTACCCTTGAGTCGTTGTATTAAATGATCTCTGATAATTGGCCATCGTTGACGAAAAATATCTTTCTTGTCAGATTGCAAAAAATCGAAGTCATTATCAATCTGCAATATTAATAAGAAATATAATAAGAATAATAATAATCATGAATATTTATAAATTAAATAAATACAAGTTGCTGTCCAAATTGTTCTCTTAAAGCTATAAAACGAAGCATATATTCGTCAACTTTAACTTTTTAAGATTTAATCATGCTATTTCTCGCTTTGCGAGTATCTATCCAATATTGCAAAACTGTTCCTTCATCTTCAGAATGACCTTTCAAATATGCCAATTTTTCATTTGTAGATTCTGAAAACAAATAGAAGGACTGTGAATACCAAATATACTGAACAAGTGAAATATTTGACGTAATAAAACTATTCTAACCATTATACGAAGTTAATGTCTGTTTTTCAGGCAGATTAGTTTCTCCGGATTTTCTTCTAGGCAGTAATATTCCATCAGATCTTAGTTTATGTTTCTCATATTCAAAATGATGATACAGTTTTCCCCTTTCTGGGTACTTTGTTCCAATTTCTATTCGGAAAGGTGTATAATATGTTGCGGCAGATTCTGTCCCAAAAATTATCTCAATTAAGTTTGCCAGACTTTTCAATTCTCCTTTATCAATCCTAAAAAATTATTACTTGAAAAATTCATTGTTTTTATGTAAAGTAAGTTTAGGAGTAAAGAGAAATGCAATTTTTGAAGATAAAAAATTGAATTATCTGAGGGTGATAAAGCTACGCACGCACCATAAATAATAACATAAACATAAGAATTTTTACCACAGAAATCCAATTTTCAATTTCCCTGACATTTTCCTCACTCTTCCTTGACATTAAAAAATTCTAAAATTGTATTTTAGTTAGAGATTACGGGGAGAGAAAATGAAAGTTCTATTATTTTAAATACAATTTAAATTGTTGACTAAAAGAAATTTAAAACTTATACTTTTTGTTTTTAGATAAATTTGAAATTCAGTTCGTTTAAAAAAATTGGAATGAATTCGGATAAATAACAAATTTCATTAGACAAAAGTTTAGATAAATTAAATTCGGAAATAATGAATATTAATTCAAATTTATATTCATTTTATTAATATTCTACTTTATAAAATTTGGTTCAATTTTTTTTTATTTTCAAAATATTTTTTTCCTGACATTTCCATGGTTTTCTTGACACCTGGCAACCCTGATAAAGCACCATAAAATGACAAAAAAATTAAAACTGAACAATTAATTATCTAAATTTGTATATATATTTTTTTTCATTTAGTTGTAACTAATTACAAATTTTATTTAACAATTTTCCTATGAGTAAAAATTTATTGATTTTTATGTAAAATAGCAAATATATTTATTTTTATTTTTTTTATTAAGCACATAACGGGACATGCCCTTTCGTACAAAAGTACTCTTAAATCTAGTAATATTGAAGAAACAATTATTAAACAAAGAATTTTCGACAAAAAAAATAAGATTTAGGAAATATTGATTTTAAAATTTGTGGAAAATTCTTTAATACCATAAATTTAATTTTTTTATAATCACTAACTCAAATTTACTTTTTAATTGTCTCTAAACTTTAAATTTTTTTTGGGATAAAGCACAGAAAATTTGGACCGTTATCACCAAATATGCTAAAAATTCTAATTTTCATTTTGACTAAATGTAAAAAAATATTTTAATTTTTAAAAATGAACTATATTTATCACTTACATTGAAACAACTTCAACAATTTATAAATGTTGATAATTGAGTAGCTGCCTGCAATAACTCGCCGAGCGCTTGGCCGATCGCTCTAACGCCAGTCAAATGTTCAAAAACGTGAAAAAAATGAAAAATCAAAATTTTGATTTTTGAAAAGTGCAATCTTGTGGGACATAAGATGGCGCATCTTTTTTTCCTTTGAGTTTTTTTTGTAGATCAAAAAATAGAGTTAATATATGCAAAACACTTGAAAATTTTATTTCACAAATTTCATTCAATTTTTAAACATAAATCATAGTATCTTTGACAAATTTCAATGAATCTTATTGAAAATTAATATACATACGTATTTAGGTCCATAGAAGACGACAACATAATCAAAAATATTAAAATCATCAATTGTTTATTTATAATTAATTGTAAATGAAGACTTGTCAATAATAATGTTTACTTACCTTTGTCGACATAAAGTGTGTGGGGAACTTCAGAGTTGAAGAAACTTCCAGTGAGACATTTGTTTATCATAATGTAAGGAAGTTTTTTGTAAAATTGAAAAACAATTTATCAACAACTTTAGAAAATATAGAACGTTTAAGAAAACATGGACGACGCTCTAGCGAGTCTCCGCGCGGAGAATTGCACACAAGAGTTAAGAAGGACGTTATGTTATGTTGTGATATATTATGTTTTGAAAATGGAGCCAACATACTATCACTGTTAATATGTAACAATACACTAATTTCTTTAAAAAATGAAGAAACAGAAAATAAAGATATACCTTAATATTAATTAATAAAAAACTTATTTGCAAACTGCACAAACAGTACATACAAGCACCAAAATATTTTAAAACTATTGATTATTTAGTAAATATTAAAAAAACAGTTGTTCAAATTTAATTTGCATTTTCATAAAATTAATACATATTTTATTTGAAAAACATTTCTAAGAATGTAGTGACAATATTTGTTTCTGTATTTTCGGTCCTCTACAACTCTTGTTTGCAATTCTCCGCGCGGAGACTCGCTAGCGCGTCGCGCATGTTTTCTTAAACGTTCTATATTTTCTAAAGTTGTTGATAAATTGTTTTTCAATTTTATAAAAAACTTCCTTACATTATGATAAACAAATGTCTCACTGGAAGTTTCTTCAACTCTGAAGTTCTCCACACACTTTATGTCGACAAAGGTAAGTAAACATTATTATTGACAAGTCTTCATTTACAATTAATTATAAATAAACAATTGATGATTTTAATATTTTTGATTATGTTGTCGTCTTCTATGGACCTAAATACGTATGTATATTAATTTTCAATAAGATTCATTGAAATTTGTCAAAGATACTATGATTTATGTTTAAAAATTGAATGAAATTTGTGAAATAAAATTTTTAAGTGTTTTGCATATATTAACTTTATTTTTTGATCTACAAAAAAAACTCAAAGGAAAA